CCACCCAGACCATGGTGGACCGCCTGAAGCGGCTGCACAATACAGACGGGCTGCCCAGGTCCGCCCTGGCCCTCCAGCAGCCCTTGGACCTCACTGTGCCCTGGCCTGCAGCCCTGCTCTCCGCTCAAACATTCGGTCCAGCTCCTCTGAGGGACCTTGCCTCACTCCAGTCCCGCACCATTGGCTCTTCCCAGCTTCCACCCTGGGAGCGGGGCGGGGCGGGGGAAAGCTGCCCGTGGGAAGGGGCTTAAATCTACTGGAGACAGAACTCTCCCGGTGTGTCCACAAGTGGCTTTGCGTGGACAGGGAGCATTCTGGAGGGGGGCGGGGTGCTCCTTTCTGTCAGGGCTGGATCTCTCGTCCACTCTGGCATGGAGGAAAGGTGGGCCACACGGTACCCCCAAGGCTGGGTGACCCAGGCTGTGGTCTCCCTCAGGGTGCAGCTGTCTTCTCCGGGGCGACTCTTCTCCGCACTGGAGAGCAGCTCAGGGCAGCTGTGCACGTGGGTTGGGGAGCTCTTCCTGGAGCTACACAATGGCACCTACACCACGCATGCCCAGGTCAGGAGCTGCTCCCTGAGCCCAGCAGGGAGCGTGTGCCCTGGCTCCGTGGGGGCCAGAGTCCAGTCCAGACCTGGGGGGAGAGGCTTGTGTTCTGGGGCGGCACCAAGAGGAGAGAAGTACCAGAGCCAGGCGGGCCAGGGGCCTGGAGGAGGCAGGGCTGAGTTGTCCCTGAAGAAGGCAGGCCGCAGGCTGAGCGGGGGGCAGGTCAGCCACCAGAGGCTTTATCTGGGAGGCCCTGGGGAGCCTCAGGGGTTCTGAGTATGGGAGGGCTTTGGAAGGTGGCCTGGGACTGATCCCCCCACCCCAACCCTGCTCAGATCAAGAAGGGGAACCGGGAGTGCGAGCGGATCCTGCACGACGTGGAGCTGCTCAGCAGCCTGGCTGTGGCCCGCAGCGCCCCATTCCTGTACCCGGCAGCCCAGCTACAGCACCTCTGGAGGTCAGCCCGGCTTCTGCCCGCCCCCGCCACCGCCCCGAGCTCACTGCAGACAGCTTCCCCATCCCCACCCTTGGCTCCCGCAGGCTCCTGCTCCTGAACCAGTTCCATGACGTGGTGACCGGAAGCTGCATCCAGCTGGTAGCAGAGGAGGCCATGTGCCACTACGAAAGTAAGGTTGATGACCCGCATGCCGCTGTCGCCGACGCCTGGGGCGGAGCCCAGAGTGTGTCCTGTGGGCTACTCGGGGCCCATCCCAAGCCCGCCGCCCACCCATGACCAGCCGGTCTCCCCGCAGATATCCGTTCGCACGGCAACACGCTGCTCAGTGCTGCCGCTGCAGCCCTGTGCGCCGGGGAGCCGGGGCCCGAGGGCCTCCTCATCGTCAACACGCTGCCTTGGAAGCGCACTGAAGTGTTGGCCCTGCCCAGGCCTGGTGGGGCCCACAGCCTGGGTAGGAGCTGGGGGGAAAGGCTGCTGCTGCAGTAGGAGGGACCGAGGCCAGACCCCGGGGGGGGACACTGGCCCGGGGCTCGCTGCCCCAGGACACCCCAGGCTGGAGGGAAAGAGGGGGAGGACCCACCCACCCCAAAGGCAAGGCTCCTGGAGGGTCAGGGAGGCTGCACTGATGCCCAGCCTTCATCCCCAGCCCTGGTGACAGTGCCCAGCATGGGCTATGCTCCTGCCCCTGCCCCCACCTCACTGCAGCCCCTGCAGACCCAGCAACCTGTGTTTGTGGTGCAGGAGGTGAGTGTGGGCACATGCTGGTGGGCGGGGCCTCTCCTGGACCATCCCTGACAACGTGGGGATTCTGAGCTCCCCAGCTGGAGCAAATGGTGAGGTGGGGGCTGGGCTGGGGTGCTGTTGGTGGTGGGAAGTCCCCGCAGACTCAGCTTTAAGGACCCCTCCCGCCAAGACCGACGGTTCTGTGACTCTGGACAATGGCATCATCCGGGTGAGGCTGGACCCAACCGGCTGCCTGACGTCCCTGGTGCTGGTTGCCTCTGGCAGGTGCCAACTCCTCATTGCCCTCTTCCAGTGCCTGGCGGGTGGATCCCAGACCCCGTTCCCTCTGTCCCCTGGCCCCAGTACTGCCCATGGCAGCCCACCTGTGCCTCTGGACCCACACAGGGTAGGGCAGGCTGGGATAGGAAGGAGTCCCCTTGTCCCCTGGGCCTACTCTCCCTGCCCCCACCCCACCTCAGGGTCATAAAGTTCTAAAGCACCAATCTCTGCATCCTTCCAGGGAGGCCATTGCTGAGGGCACTGTGGGGAACCAGTTTGTGCTGTTCGATGATGTCCCTCTGTACTGGGATGCATGGGACGTCATGGACTACCATTTGGAGACACGGTTTGGTGTGGGCAGGACCGGGGTGGTGGTGGGCCCCCTCCATCAGCTTGCCCTGGCTCAGCTCCGCCACCCCATCCCACAGGAAGCCAGTGCTGGGCCAGGCAGGGACCTTGGCAGTGGGCACTGAGGGTGGCCTGCGGGGCAGCGCCTGGTTCCTGCTGCAGATCAGCCCTAACAGTCGGCTCAGCCAGGAGGTCGTGCTGGACATTGGCTGCCCCTATGTCCGCTTCCACACTGAGGTAGCAGAGAGCAGGGTGGTAGGCATCTATTCCCGGGTGTGGCTGGGGAGGAGGGAGCTGCCCAGGCCTGTGTGTGTCTGTCCTTCCACCTCAGGTGCACTGGCATGAGGCCCACAAGTTCCTGAAGGTGGAGTTCCCCGCCCGCGTGCGGAGCCCCCAGGCCACCTATGAGGTTCAGTTCGGGCATCTGCAGCGGCCCACACACCACAACACCTCTTGGGACTGGGCTCGATTTGAGGTCTGACATGGGGTGGAGTGGGGTTTGGATCCTGCCCAGCTGGGAAGAGACTGGTGTGGTGTTGGGTCAGGAGGAGGTCGCTGATCAGTATTTGCTGGCTCCTGTGTGCTAAGCCTTGTGCTAAATGCTGTGTTTGGTTTTTGACACTCATGCCCATTTGGTGGGGGGTGAATTCTATTATCCCCATTTCACAGATGAGGAACTGAGGCCTAGACAGGTTGGATGGTGTGCCCAGCGCCTCCTGTGGTGAGAGCTGGAGCTCCATCTGCGGTGCCAGAGCTGGCCCTCACTGTGGCCGACGGGAGCTCGGGAGCCCAGGGAGGGGGCGGGGCCACCAAGCGGCTCTGGGATCTGCCCTCCAGGTGTGGGCCCACCGCTGGATAGACCTGTCAGAGCACGGCTTTGGGCTGGCTCTGCTCAACGACTGCAAGTACGGCGCGTCAGTCCGAGGCAACGTCCTCAGCCTCTCGCTGTGAGTGGAGGACCCGCCAGGCCCCGGGGTGGGGGTGGGGGCCGGCATGGGGGCGCGGATCCTCCGGGCCCGGAGCCTCCGCAGTTCCAGCCCGGCCCATCCCCACCCTCCCCACCCCAGCTTGCGGGCACCGAAGGCCCCCGACACCACTGCCGACATGGGACGCCACGAGTTCACCTACGCGCTGATGCCGCACAAGGGTGGGTGCTGCGGCCCGGGCCACCTCTCTGCCCTGCTCTGAGCCTCAGTTTCTCCCAGCGGCCCATGGGCAAAACGCCAGCACGCCCACGCCCCCACCCCCATTTCCAGGTTCCTTCCAGGACGCTGGCGTTATCCGCGCTGCCTACAGCCTCAATTTCCCCCTCTTGGCACTGCCTGCCTCGGGCCCGGCGCCCGCCGCCTCCTGGAGCGCCTTCTCCGTGTCCTCGCCGGCGGTAGTGCTGGAGACTGTCAAGCAGGCAAGGGGCGGGGCGGCAGGGGTGGGGGCGGGGCCCCGTCTGGGTCCGCCCCGGCCCCGCCCACCACCCACCTCCCTCCGCAGGCGGAGACCAGCCCGCAGGGCCGCACGCTGGTCCTCAGGCTGTACGAGGCCCACGGCAGCCACGTCGACTGCTGGCTGCACACGTCGCTGCCGGTTCAGGAGGCCGTCCTGTGAGTGGGGGCGTGGGGTAGGGGTGGGCGTCCTGCCCTCGCGGGGCCCTCATGACCTCCCCGCCTCCTGTTCTGCAGCTGCAACCTCCTGGAGCAGCGCGACCCTGCCGGCCACCTGCCCCTTCAGGACTCCCGCCTGAAGCTCACCTTTTCTCCCTTCCAAGTGCGGTCCTTGTTGCTGCTGCTGCAGCCCCCTCCAAACTGAGCTCCTGACGGTGGGGTTTTACGTGTGGAAGGCTTCGGGGGCTCCTCACTTCTGCCTCCCCAGCCTGAAGCAAGGATCAGTCACCTCTTGAACAATAAACCCTTGACTCAGGAACCCTGCTAGCAGTAGTTCCTGCTCACTCCCCTCGGGGCCTGTCCTCAGGGAGGAAGGCTTTTCCTCAGGCGTTTGGGGGCAGGGGCAAGATCCGAACTTATCAGTGTGTGCAGGGTCTGGGTTGCAGCCCCCCCCCCCCCCCCCCCCCCGCGAGATTTGGGATATCAGTGACCACAAGCTGGAAAAGAGACCCGGGAGGGGAGGAAGCCAAGACGGTGGATTCCGGCTGGCCGCCCACTAGGAGAGGAGCACTGGCTGGCGACAGTGCTGGGAATTCTGGACTGGAGGAGCTGTGGGCCATCCCCCGCTGCCCGGGGCCAGGGTCTCTACACCACCTCTGAGAGGCTGTACCTGCAGAGGCAGGCCATCCTCTGAGAGCCAGGGCCTGGAAGACTGGGATGGGGCTCAGTCATCCTTGTCCAGGTGGCTCTCCTGTCTCCAAGGTCAGGCAGTAGTTTCTCCCAGGTTGGCCTTCCTAGACCTTCTGCGGCCAGCCCAAGAAGTGCCAAGAAATTCAAGTGTATTAGTTTATTTAAAATGACAGCATTTTTCATGTGGGCTTAAAAAATGGGGAAGGTGGGGTACAATTAAAAACAGGTGTGCAGGGAACAGCCACAGGGCCAGGGGCACCTGGCCCCCCAGCAGCTCCAGCCTGCTTCCGGTGAGCCGCCAGGCCCCCCGCACGGCTCGGCAGAGGAAGCGGGTGGACGTGAGCAAGGACACCCTCCGGCTTAGGAGGCTGCTGTCCCCTCATTCTCCAAGGATGGGGTGTCCGCCTTGATCCTTCGGGGTCCGCGGTGGCCTGGGAGGAGGGCAGGTGAGGTGGCCGCTCAGATCCCAGGCTGAGGGCTGCCCCAGCGGCCTCCCCCTGCTACCTCCGTCCGCAGTCCTCCCACCTGCGCTGCCATCCCTTCCTCCTGCAGAGCCTTCTCCCCCCAGAGCAGCGTGCTGAGCAAGGCCAACCTGCGGCTGCTGGTCGCCTCCTCCTTTTTGCCTTCTCAGGGACTCGGGGGGCCTCTGGGCCCTGCTGGAGGCTGGTGCCCTCAGGCTGCTCTGCTCTACTTTGCTCAGGAGGGCCTCTGCGAGCCCCGCATGTCCCGGGAGGGGCCGTGCTTGGAAGGAGAGGGTCCTGAGTAGGGGAGATACAGGTCCCCAAGGGGCTCCGTGAGCAGTTCAGAGGTTGGTGAGGACCCACCATTGCCCCCCATTGTCAAGGGAGGGCGCCCGGGAGGTGTGGCTGGCGGGGCAGGGGAGCATGCAGGGAGGGGCCATACCTCCATTCTGTGCTCAGGCCCCTGCTGTGCTCCCTTGGATTTCTTGCAGGACTTGCCTCCTGCAGGACACTGACACTGGGGCCGGAGGGTCCTCTGCCCTCAGCCCCCTTTCTGCAGACTCCCGCTCTGGGGTGACTCCCAGGGGTGGAGTGGGGACTGGGATGGAGAAGGGTGATGTAACTCTTGCAAGCAACTAGTCCTTCCTGCTCTCCCAGCTTATTACGTTAAGAGTAGCTTACCTTTGGGTGCCAGGGGTCCCGGATCCCCCTAAAATGGAATGAGGAGAATTCAGGAATCAACCTGGCTGGGGCAGGGGGAGTTTTCCTTGGAGAGGCAGAGCTCACAGCTCTCCTTCCAAATCAGTGGAGCTACTCCCCTAAGAAGCCCCTCTGACTGCCCCGTTCTCCGCAGGTGGGAGCCCACATCAACAAGGCCACCCTGCCTTGGGCTACTCTACTGGCTGGGACCCTGGGGCTGAGGAGAGGAGGGGTAAAGCATGGGGGGCAACGGCAGGCCCTGGACATCTGCTCCTGGGAGACCCCAGCTCCTGCCCTGCTGTGACCCCAGGTCTGGCCACCGCACTAGCTTCCTCCATTTGCCTATGTGAGATTAGGGCCCAAACCTGGAACCAGATGGTCCGACCACGATGGTCCCGCAGGGAGCTCATGCCGGGCATGCCATAGCACTGAAGCCATGCTCGAAAGGCGGCAAAGTCCTCCTCCCCGCTCTCTGGCCCGTAACCTTTGCCCCCTGTGGGACAGAGGAACCAGGCCGAAGTCAGGGCGGACTCAGGCTGGGAGGAGGGGGAGCCTGGTCGGCCTGGCCCAGACCTCAGCTACTAGCTGATGGACTGAGTCAGGGGGCCGAGGCTCTCCCTCCTCCAGCTGTGTGCCCTCAGGCTGGTGGCTTCCCCACTCTGGGCCATGGCTTTCCCATCATGGGGTGAGGTGAATAATCCTTGTCCGGCCTGCCTCCTGGGCTGCTCAGAGGAGATAGATACCTAACAAGTGAGGAGGCTTGTTGCTTGTAGCAACAACTAGATCTACAGACATCCATACCCCAGGTAGGGCAGGGGTTACACAGTATACTGAAGCAGAGGTAGAGCCATCTTTGGCTCCCAGGCCTCACCCAGCTGGACCACTTCCTTGGGCACGGAGTGACACAGTTCCAGCAGGTCTGGGTTCTGCAGCTTAGCCCTGATCTTCTGGCTCAGAGTCAGCTCCGGGCTCTGGAGAAGGGGCAGAGGCAGGAACTGGCTGTCAGCATGAGGCAGGGCCACTCAGAAGGCAGCTGAGCAGCGGGGAGCAGAACCCCAGGAGCTTGGCAGGACTGAGAGACAATCCATCTGCCCCCGACCCCTGACACTGCAGAGAAAGGGAAATGGGCCCAAAGCTGGAGACCTAACCCAGCCTATACACTTGTTGGCCTGCTCTGATCGGTCTGTCCGCTTTCCTCCCCACACCCTCACCGGCCTGCGCTGCTGCAGCGCCTCCAGAACCTTGCGGGCCTTCTCGAAGGGGGATATCCTCAGCCTGCAGTGGGGTGGAGAGAGGGAGCCATGCTAAGCAGTGGAGAATGTGGGCGCACCCAGCCCTCCCTAGTCCTCATGGCCGTCCTGCTGACCGGTACAGGATCTCTGCCCGAAGATAGTTGCCAATGCCATTGAAGAACCTCTGGTCCAAGAGGGCCTCGCAGATGGGTTGGTCAAAGACCTTGTCCGCTAGGTTTCGTAACACGTTCTCCCTGGAGGAACACAGCCAGCCCGGGTACATGAGACCCCTTCTCTGCCCCCATCCCTGAGGCCTTGCCACAGGATAGAGAGGGGCCGGGGGTACCTGGATGCAAGGGGAAGGAACGTGGGAGTCCCAGTTCCCGGTTTCCCAGCCTCAGTGCTATTTTGGCAGCGGGAACCTCCATTTTCCTTTTTTTTTTTTCCCTTTTTTAAAGATTTTGTTTATTCATTTGAGAGAGAGGCAGAGGAGAGACAGAGGAAGAGGAAGAAGCGGACTCCCTGCTGAGCTGGCGCCCTCCATTTTCCTATTTATTGGGAATAATTTCCTATTTATTGGAAACACCAGTATGAGATTTGAATTCATTATGAAAGGTGAAAAATACCAATCAAAAGCAATGTGTTTGGGCGCCTGCGTGGCTCAGTTGGTTGTCTTCCTTTGGCTTGGGTCATGATCCTGGGGTCCTGGGATCGAGCCCCGCGTGGTCGGGCTCCCTGCTCCACGGGGAGCCTGCTTCTTCTTCTCCCACTGCTTGTGCTCAAATAAAGTCTTAAAAAAAATGCGGGGCGCCTGGGTGACTCAGCCATTAAGTCTCTGCCTTCGGCTCAGGTCATGATCCCAGGGTCCTGGGACTGAGCCCTGCATCAGGCTCCCGGCTCCGCAGGAAGCCTGCTTCTCCCTCTCCCACTCCCGCTGCTTGTGTTCCTGCTCTGGCTATTTCTCTCTCTGTCAAATAAATCAAATCTTAAAAAAAAAAAAAAAACGTGTTCAAGGAAACACACAAGTCTGTAGATGTGTGTCTATCACAAAAGACCCTCAGGTTCAAGGGTCTTGGGTGGAGAACAAGGTGATCCCAGCTCAGATGTGCCTGCGGTCTGGAGCTCCCTGTCTTCAAGGAAGCTGGTACTGGCTCTGTGTAGCAGGTGTGTGGTGACAAGTCCTGGCTAGCGAGTGTCCCAGCAACCCCCACCCCACCTCCAGGGGTCCCCGATCCCTCCTCACCCCCACAAAGAGGAAATGCACCTCGTTTCTTTGTGGGAAAGGTTCCCGGCGAGACTGACTCAGTAACGGGCACGAGGAGCATATGAAGTAGGGGCCAGAAGACAGAGTTTGGGCTAAAGGTAAGTGTGGAGCATTAGCCTAGGTGGTCAGAGCACTAAGGGGAGCAGACCCCTGCACGCTCCCCAGCTGTGAGACCAAGAAAAGAGCCAAAATTCGCAGGTGAGAGAAACTTGAGAGCCAGGTGGCAGAGAGTGAACTTGTGCCATGACTTCCCAGCAAAGTTGGATGGGAGGAATCCAGGACGGTGACAGACGCTTCCCTGGGGTGCACTCAGGGTCGAGCCTGGGAAGGCCAGGAGTCAAGTGCTCAAGACGCCCTGACCCACCCAGGACAACCAAGTCTAAGGCCCAACGGAAAGCATGCCAGCCCCAAGGAAGGGAAGACTGGCTAAGTCCACTGCAGGCCTTGAGTCTGTGATTCTGTCCCTTACAGTGCTTTTCCTCTAGGGCTTTGCAAAGGCTGGCTCCTTTTCCTTGGGCAGGCCTTAGCTCAAATGTCACCTAGAGTGGTCTTTTCCTAATCCTCCCCCCACCTCACCCCCGCCCAACCCCTGGCCAAGAGTCATTCTCCACTTCTTGGATTTTTCTTCAGGCATGTGTCTGTTTAAATTCATCTACTTTGTTCCTTGTTCCCCCTGCCTTATCTGAACTTTAGCTCTGTGGGAGAGGGACCACATCCATCTTACTCACTGTGGTACCCCCCGACACCTGGCAGAGGGCTTGGCACGAAATAGAAACCCATTCATGTTTCACCTTTAGAAGAAGGGAAGTGGCCGGCAGCGTGCCATCCTCTGTGACATGCATCACATCCCAGGTGGGGTGGTGACCCCTCCGGCAGAGGAGACCATGGGACAGTCACAGACCAGTGGGCAGGCAGAATGTGGGAGACCGCAAACCCGATTCAGAAACCGTGTCATGAGGTAGTCCCCTGCCCACCGCTTTGAAGCAATTCCTTCCTGCTCAGCCGCCTTTCTTACCAGGTGGTTAAAGCCCCTTCACCTTTCTTCTTAGCCTCCGAGAAGCAGAGTGGGAGGCTGAGCCCCAGCTCTGACACGAACTGGCCATGTGTCCTCAGGGCAGGCCTGCCCATCCTCCTCTTGCCCCCCCCCACAGTTGCGGGGTTCCACATCCATTAGCTCAGAGAGTTGTCTCCGGGAAAGGACACTGCCCTGGTCGACACACAAAGGGACTGAGGACCAGAGGGGACTAGATTTGCCCCTCACTGGCCAGCGAGGCACTCACAGAGCCAGGCCCAGAGCCCAAGACTGTGGTCCTCACGCCTGGTGCTGGGCCTACCTGAACTGCTCATACTCCAGCAAGACACAAGGCCCGCGGCCGGGCTGCCACTCGCCCCCGAGGTCCCAGTGGCCGAAGCGGCGGATGTCCACGAAGCAGAGGGCGAGTGGGGGACCGGGGGGAGCTGTGTAGAAGCGCAGGTGGGCATGGGCCGGCAACGCATCCCGGGGCGCCAGCTGGAAGGAGCCAGACATGCCGAATCGGAAGACCAGAGCCAGTGGCCCCCGTGGGGGCTCGGCCCCAGGCAGGGGGCTCAGGGTCAGGCGCAGCTCCTTGCCACGGGCCAAGGATGAGATGCAGTACGCACTGCTCTCAAAGGGCACCTCAGGGTTGCGGCTGACGGGTGACTTCTCCACACACCCGCCGAACACCAAGCCCCTGCAGGCCTCGTTCACGAAGCGGCTGGCCAGATGCAGCTCGGGTCCCTCAGGCATTCTGTGGGCGGGTGGCTGGGCCCTGTGGGGGGAGGATGGCAGTGGGTGGGGCCAAGTGGCACCTTGGGAGGTAGAAATTATCCCCCCATTTTATAAAGGAGAACCCTGAGGGCCACAGGGGGCCACTACCAGCTGGGATCGGCGGACAAGTCAACTGGCCCGGTCACAGGTCCTGGTCCCCACCTGAAAGTGCTGAGAAAGCCCAGGGCACTATGGAGCTCAGGCTGGGGAAGCGAGACTCTGCCTTATTGTACACCTTCCATGGGGCTTTGGGGAGCCCCCCACTGCTTCTAGAATAAAGTCCAGATCCTTTCTGGGCCCACACTGTCCTCTCATTCCTCCCACACTCCGCCTCACTCACTGGCTCCAAGCACCGTCTTCCCCGGCCCATGTCTTTGCCCCTGCTGTCCCTTCAGTCTGGGACACTTGAGAGAGGCCCTCCCCGACCACCCTCTCCGAGGCAGCATCCCTCCGCCCACGAGTTTTCTTTTCATGGCACCCCCAGAATCCGAAATGATCTTGTGCGTTGTCTGCCTCTACCTCCACTCCCACCCCAGAGTACAAGCTCTGCTTGCTCACGACTCCACTTCTTAGGACCCGGCCTGCACCTGCTCCGCAACAACTGAGGGAGGGAACCTGATCCCGCCGGGGGAACGAGAACCGGGAGAAGATGCGAGACACTCTGCCCGCAGCGAGGACCAGCCTGCCACGACGCGCTGCTCGGGACCAGAGCGAGGACAAGGAGGGAAGGCAGGTGCGCTGGCACCAGGTGCCCACGGCTCTGAGGGAGGAGGACAGGGGTGACAGGAAGGGCTCCGGAGCTCCGGGTCAGGGTCCGGGGGTGGGGGGCATAGGAAACGCCCACATCGGCGTCGGGGCTGAGCGAAGCAAACTCCATCCCGCCCGCCGCCCCCCACGCCTGGCTGCGGGAGGGGAGTTTCCACTCTCCTTTTTCCGGGACCTGCCCAGATCAAGGCCAGGTTTTGTGTGGGGCAGAGGGGGGCATTTAGCTAGGTAGGGTAGACTGCCTCACCCCTGTCCCCCTCCTCAGCGCCGTCCGGGGTCTGGCACCCTAAAGGCTTCGTTCTTCGGGAAAAGCTGAACGTCCAGATTCCTAACTTCCGCAGGGCGGGCACCCACCCTAGTGCTCACCTCCCCTTCACCACCCCGCCCCGTTGCCCGTCCTCGGCTAACCCCAGCTCCCCAAGGTCCCCGAACCCCATCCCCTCCTCAGCTCTGCAGCACCGCCGCCCCCGGGTAACCTGCTCCCCGTGCGGCTCCCCGCCAGCCTGCAGCCACTGAGGGGTTAACGCGGGGGGGGGGGGGGCGGGGAGGTGCGGCGGACCGCGCCCAAGAGCACGCTGGGAGCTGAGGTCGCCGCACCGGCGCCTGCTGGGAAGTGTAGTTTCTCCGGCAGGTGGCAGAGGCTGGCCGGGGTGGGCTGGAGGCTCCCGAGTGTGGGAAAGCCTTTGGGGCTGTCACCTGGCCGGGAGGTGGCGGAGGAACCTGGCTTCCCGCTGCTCCGCGCCGGCGGGATCGGGTCAGGTCTGAGGTCCCGGGTTGCAACTGTCTCCGTGGCTAGGGGCAAGTCACCCGCCTAGTCCCGGACAGGGTCGGCCCTCCCAGCAGGAAACAGCAAGCAGCAAGGTCCTGAGGCCGAGGCACCTGCAGCTGTGCGCAGGGCGCGCAGGTGCTTGATAAACGCAGGCCCTGGGGACCCGATGGTGGCCCCTAAGAATCCAGGCACAGTCAGACGTAACACATAAACAGAAGCACCATCACCACCTGCCGGGTGGCAAGTGCAGCCAAGCAACAAAAAACGGGCGGAGAAGCAGAACCCACTTCAGATGGTCAGGTCTGGTCTAAAGAGGCCTCTGTAAGGAGCGTGCATTCCATCTTAAGTGTGGTCGGCGCAGGTGCCTGATCCATAGCCGGGATCTGCCCCTTCATATTACTTCTGCTTCCTCCTCATTTGGGCGGAAGTATTCTGAAGTAAACTAGGCGAACTGCGACATTGCATCCCTAATACTTCAACATGCATCTCTAAAAAGCAATATCCTACAAAGCCACATTTATCATACCTAATAAAATCAGTACCATCTAATACCTAGTCCACATTCAAATTTCCCTAATTGTCCCCAAAATGTCTTTTATAGCTGGTCTGTTCAAAGCAGAGTCCAGTCAAGGGTTATAGGTCTCTTTAATCATTTTTTATTTAGATGGAACCACCCTCTCCATCTCCCATTCACCCCCCCCCCTTTTTTTTTGGTTTTCATGATACTGACCTTTCTGGAGTCCAAGCCAGTTGTTTTTTGAGCTGCCCCATCACATTCTGGATTTGTCTGAATGTTTCCTTAGACACATCTCTCTTTCCTGGGTGTTCTGTACTCCAAGTTGCATCACATTAGGAGACACCCAACATCTGGTTGTCCAACATCAGTGAGGCCGAAATTGATCATGGGTGAGGTTGTGACAGCCAGTCTCAGCTTTGTAAAGATACGCTTCACACCTTGTGACCACTAAGTAATCGATGGGGTGATTTCTTTGTTGGTCTGTTTTGTTTAAATTAAGGTATAATTTATATACAGTAATATACACCATTTGTAGAGTGTGAGTTTTGACAAATATATACACTCACATTGACTATGGCCACAATCAAAGAATACATTCCCGGGTGCCTGGGTGGCTCAGTTGGTTGAGCGACTGCCTTCGGCTCAGGTCATGATCCTGGAGTCCCGGGATCGAGTCCCACATCGGGCTCCCTGCTCAGCGGGGGGTCTGCTTCTCCCTCTGACCTTCCCCCCTCTCATGTGCTCGCTCTCTCATTCTCTCTCAAATAAATAAAATCTTTAAAAAAAAAAAAAGAATACATTCTCATCACCTCCCCCCCCCGCCGCAATTTGCCTATGCCCCCTGTAGTCAACACACCCCCCCTCAATGGCAAGCACTGATCTGCTTCCTGTCCCTATCCTTTTGGCCTTCTCCATAATATCTCATGAATGGAATCTTCAGTATGTAGCCTTCTGAGTCTGGCTTCTTAGCATAATGCATTGAGATCCATCCATGTTGTTATGCTTATTAGAGGTTTTCTTTTGATTGCTGAGTAGTATTCCACTGTGTAGCAAGCCACCGTGTTTATCCAGTTACCAGCTGGGGGGCGCTGGACTGTTTGTGTGAGGGGATTCTTTAGCAAGTATCATTTCACATCACGTAAACTTTTCACCTAATGGCTCTAGCATCCTCGATGATCCTTGCCTCAATCAAGTATTTAACTGGGAATTACAAAGTGGTGGTTTTCTCTCATTCCATGTACCTTAGCTGGAATTCTTCTGTAAAGAAGAGCTTTACCTCTTTGACTAAGGCCATTTGGTTGTCCTGAAATGTTAAAAAGATAGGATAAATTCTGAATTCCTTCCCTCTAATGATCAATTTTCAGACTAAGAATTTGGTGCAGTAACATCCAATGGTGACAAATTAGGGCTCATTTGGGGTTTTTTGGGGGGGAGGGACTTTGTCTTTTATAGACTCTTTTCTATTACCAATTCATGGATTTTTTTTTTTTTTTTTTTAATTTAAACCCCGGAAAACCCCCCCCCCCCCTTTCTTCCCCCCCCCCCCCCCGCGCACCATTTACTGAAGGAGTACTTATCAGGCACTGGGACTACACACACACAGGAATACAATTCCCATCCTTAAGAAATTCAGAAGGGTAAAAGTGGCAAATGAATAAACACAAAATGATAATGCCATATTACAACCTGTGGGATTCTGTGACACCACAGAAGAGGGAATGCAACCTGGGAAATCAAGCTAATGTGAAACATTTGAAGAGACTTAGAATTTTCTGTGATCTTTTGTCTGCCACTTTGTTTTTGTTTATTCCACTTCTCTTGTTTTCTTCTTGCCCTCCTGTGGGCTACCTGAAGTTTTAGAACTCCAGTTTGACTTATCAGTATTGGTTTTGAGTGTAGTACATTGCACAGCCTTTGAGGTAGTTGTTCGAGATACTATACACAACGTACTCGTCACAGTTCATTGGTGTTGACATTCTAAGTGTAGAAACCTTGCCCCCTTTACCCTTTCCTGTTTATAATAACCTGTTTATAACCTTACATATTTCCTCTACATACTTTAAGAACCACATCCAACAATGTTTTATGTTTTGCTCCAACTGTTGAACATAATTTAAAATGCTCAAGGAAAGTCTAACTGTATCCAAAACTTCACTCCTTCCATTGTTCTTCCTCCCCGATGTTCCAAGATTCCTTATCATTTCCTTTCTGTTCAGAGATCCTCCTTTCGCCTTTTTTAGGTTAGGTCAGCTGGTGACGAACTACATTAGTTATCCTTCATCTGAGAATATCTTGAGTTCTCCCTTTACTCTTGAGGTAATTTTCGCTGAATCCAGAATTCTCAGTTGACGTTTTTCTTTCAGACCTGAAAAATGTGCTTCTTCCTTTGGGCCTCTATGGTTTCTGACAAGAAATCCACTCATTTGCTTCCCCCCCATAAGGTAAAGTGTCATTTCGCTCTTGCTGCTTTCAAGATTTTCTTTTCTTTAGTTTTCGTTAAGTTTGTTGTATGATGTACCTTGGCATGCATTTCTTTGGGTTTAACTCATATGGGATTCATTCAGCTTCAACTCTGCAGGCTTAGGTCTTTTCCCATATGGGGGAAATTTGTAGCCATTTCTCTGCATGCTTTTTCTGTTCCACCCTCTTTCTCCTCACCTTCTGGGACTCTGATGACATGAATATTAGATCTTATGTTACAATCCTGCAGGCTCTGAGGCTGTTTTATTGTTTTGTGTGTGTTTATTTTCCAAACTATTTTCTGTTGATCAGATTGGGTAATTTCTATGATTATCTTCAAATTTATGGATTCTTTCTTCTGTTGTTGTCCATTTTTACTTTATTACAGATTTCAGTTCTAAAACTTCTATCCCGGGGCACCTGGGTGGCTCAGTCGTTAAGCGGCTGCCTTCGGCTCAGGTCATGATCCCAGGGTTCTGGGATCGAGCCCCACATCGGGCTCCCTGCTTGGCGGGAAGCCTGCTTGTCCCTCTCCCACTCCCCTTGTGTTCCCCGTCTGTCAAAAAATAAAATCTTTAAAAAATAAAAACAATAAAACTTCTATCTCATTCTTTGTATCTTCTATTTGTTAAGACTTGAGGCATTTTTATGATGGCTACTTTAAAATCCTTGCCATCCAAGTCAGAGTTATCTTAGTGTTGGCATCTGTTGTGTTTTCTCATTCAAGTTGAGATTTTAACTCTCGGTTTGTTTGTTTGAATCCTGGACATTTGGGGTACTGAGACACTGGATCTTATTTAAATCTTCTTGGAGCACTTGGGTGGCTCAATTGGTTAAACACCCGAGTCTCCATTTCGACCCAGGTCACGATCTCAGGGTCGTGAGATCGAGCCCCATGTTGGACTCTGTGCTGAGCGTGGAGCCTGCTTAAGATTCTGTCTCTCCCTCTCCCCCTCCCCAGCTCACACTCTCTTAAAAAAATATCTATATCTATACACACACACATAATATATATATGTATGTGCCAGGGCGGGGGGTGGTGGAAGAGGGGCTGCAGTTTCTCTGTGGTGTGACCGGAGGAGAGCAGTTACCATCTGTAAGTCTCCTGTCTTGCCACATGGCCCCTTTCCTGATCCCCTGGCTCAAGAGAGCACGCTTTGGTTGGGCTTCCAGTCTGTGTCCTGGTGTTTCTCAGGTTGCCAGTCTCCAGCACCCAGCCCAGGACACAGGGAGCAAAAAGGAAACCTAAGGACTGCTCTGCTCTGCTGTTCTTCAGTTCCTGAGGATCTCAGTGAATCTGCCTTCTCCTCACCTTTCAGAGTCTCCTGTTTGTTTTATATGTAATGTCCAAGGTTTTCAGCTGTACTTAGTGGGAGGAATGGGGGAAGCGCATCTGCATTTTTCCAGAAGCAGAGCTCAGCACTGGAGTCAGTCCTTAACTTTTTGATGCTTAAAACTGTCGCATCTTTGGCCAGTGGGACAAGCTGGCTCCTCTTGACAGCACTCGTTATTGTCTGGTAGCTTCCCTGCACCCCAAGATGTTCTAGGCCACTTGTCTTAGTTCAGGGTGCTGTCCCAAAATACCAAAGACTGGGTGGCTTTGACAACAGACATTTATTTCTCAGAGTTCCGGAGGCTGGGAAGTCCAAGACCAAGGAGCTGGCAGACTTGTTTCTTAGTGAGGGTCTTCTCCTGCTTTGTTCTCAGATGGCCTTTTCTCGGTACACGTTCTGGACAGAGTCTGTCTTTCTCTTC